ATAATTTAAAAAATATTACACATATGATCATTTTTATATACATGTGTATTTCCTCATATTATGTAAAATTGCTTTTGATTGAGGCAAATTGAGCTTGCAATAAAAACCACAAGTCAGCAGTTACAGACCTGACTGGTGGCCACAGGACCTTATTAGCTGTGAGAATGCATCAGCCCCTTAGCCTTACTTAACTGACAGCAATTTTCTACTGACAACATAACCTGGAAAAATGACATTAATAATTTTATAGCGTTTTTAGGAGCTTCAAGTAAGATAACATGCAATAAATATTGTCAACGCCAAAGAACTCCATGAATATAATGATTATACTTCTTTGCTCTGTTTTGAACTCAGCAGCTTCTAGACGTGTTCTAACTTGTCTTCCTAACTTGTCTGCATTTTCCCAGATGGTGATGCAGGGAGTAAGAAAGTCTCATTAAGATGGAAATTTGCTTTCATTCAGGGACCCATAGTATGAAAGTTCCTGAAGTCAGTGCCCTGTTTTTTATGTTTCATTGCTGCCATACATCTGAACTGAATGCCAGTCTTTCATGGCTTAATACCTTCACGTTTTAAAAGGACAATGTGTGAGGAAATCTCTTCTCGCTGGGGTGATGCTGAGCATGATAATACATTGGTGTTCATTAGCACTTAGACTATAGGATTGCTAATTGGAAGAGTGGCATATCTTGTCCTGTATTTTGTTGTTTAAACCTGTGAGGGGGGATTCCCATTCTCAGAGTCAGCCACAGTTTGTTATGATCCACACAGTCAAATGCCTTTGCATAATCAATGAAACACAGATAGACATTCTTCTGGTATTCTTTGCTTTCAGCCAAGATCCATCTAACATCAGCAACAATATCCCTAGTACCACGACCCCTTCTAAACCCAGCCTGGACTTCCGGAAGTTCTCTGCTGATGTGCTGTTCTAATCGTTTTTTGATGATCTTCAGCAGAATTTTGCTTGCATGTGAAATCAATGACACTGTTTTTTAGTTTCCACACTCACTTGGATCACCTTTCTTTGGAATGGGAACAAATATAGATCTCTTCCAGTCAGTTGGCCAAGTGGTTGTTCTCCAGATTTCTTGGCACAACTTGGTGAGCACATCCAGGGCAACATCTGTTATCTGAAATACTTCAATTGGTATACCATCTATTCCTGGGGCCTTATTTTTTGCTATTTCCTTCAAAGCAGCTTGAACTTCTTCCTTCATCACCATAGGCTCTTGCTCATATGTTATTCCTTTAAATTCCTCTGTATCTGCCAATTCCTTTCTATATAATGACTCAGTATATTCCTTCAACCTTCTTTTAATACTTCCTGGATCATTTAATATTCTGCCCAAAGCATCCTTGATTACAGCAACTCTAGGTTTGAATCTGTTCTTCAGTTCGTTGAGCTTAAGAAATGCTGAGTGAGTTCGGCCCTTTTGATTTTCTGACTCTAGCTCCTCGCAAATTTCATTGTAGTATTTTGCTTTGTCATTCCGAGCAGCCTTTTGGAATCTTCTGTTCAGCTCTTTAGTATCTTGAATTCTTCCTTGTGCTTTGGCTTCTCTATGCTCCAGTGCAATCTTCAGAGTTTCTTCTGACATCCATTTTGGTCTTTTCTTCCTCTTCTGTCTTTGTAATGACCGTTTACACTCTTCCTGAATGATATCTTTGACATCCTCCCACAACTCATCTGGTCTTCGCTCATTAGTGTTCAAGGCCTCAAACCTGTTCCTGAGATGATTCTGAAATTCAGGTGGTATGAAATCAAAGTCATATTTTGGCTCCTGTGGATTTGGTTTAATTTTCCTCAGCTTCAGCTTGAACTTGCATATGAGTAATTGGTGGTCTGTTCCACAGTCAGCCCCCGGCCTAGTTACTTGCTCCAAAGGGTCAAGGACTGCAGCCTTCAGTATGGACTAAGGCTCAATGTCAAGAAGACAAAGATTTTCGCCACTGGACCAATTGGCAGCATCAAGATGGATGACGAAGAGATTGAGAGTGTTCACAGCTTCAGTTTGCTCGGCGCCACAGTCAACACTCTTGGCACAGGCAGTCAGGAAATCAAAAAGCGTATCACGATGGGAAAGTCTGCTGTTAGGGACCTCTCTAAGGTACTCAGGAGCAACAGTGTCTCTCTGGAGACTAAGGTGCGCCTGATACAGGCCATGGTCTTTGCAATCGCTTGTTATGCATCAGAGAGTTGGACAGTGACTAGGGAGGACAGAAGAAGAATGGATGCTTTTGAGCTGTGGTGCTGGAGAAGGGTACTGAATGTACCCTGGACTGCCAGGAAAACAAACAGATTTATCTTGGAGAGGATTAAACCAAGCTACTCCTTGGAGGCAAGGATTCTGGGGCTTCGTCTGACATACTTTGGACATGTTGCCAGGAGGGACAGGTCCTTGGAGAGGGACATCATGCTTGGGAGGGTGGAGGGACAGCGCAGGAGGGGAAGACCCTCTATGAGATGGATTGATTCAGTGACTGGGGTGATCGGAATGGGTGTGTCAGAGGCGGTGCGGTTGGCGCAGGATAGAGCAGGATTTAGGGCTGTTGTGCATAGGGTCGCTATGAGTTGGAAACGACTCGACGGCACATAACAAGAACAACAACAAACCTGTGAGAGGGATGGACAATTGTTCCCTTAACTCCCTATGCTTAAGAGTTGGTAGTTATTGCTACATGGCATCGAGTCAAGTACAAGTTATAGTGACCATATGAACAACAGATCTGAACCCTGGCCTATCCTGTGCCATCCTCATCATCCCTGACACACTGAAGCCTTTTCCTGTACTTACTGTGTCAATCTACCTCATTGGAGGTCTTCCTCTCTTTCATTGGTCCTCTACCTTTCCAAGTATGATATCCCTTGCCAAGAAATAGCCTCTCCTAGACACAGGACCAGAATATGTGAGACAAAGTTTCACTGTCCTTGCTTCCAAGGAGCACTTTGGCTGCACTTTTTCCAGGACATAACTCTTGGTGTTTTTGGCAGACCATGGAATATTCAGAGCTCTTCTCCAACACTACTTCAAAGGCATTAGTTCTTCTGACATCCTTGTCCAACTCTCAAATGCCTAGTGAGTCATTGAAAAGACTATGATCTGAATCTTCAAACTGACATTGAGTTGATAGAGCTGGTAACAAAAGGAGCCCAGCTTCTCGTGATGGTCATATATGATCCTGCTATATAAAACTTCTAATTTTCCACTAAATAGATGTTATCTTCTTTACAGAGGTATAGAGATGATTTGGGTAGGTGTTTGTTTTTTTTATCAGCTTAGAAGATTTTTAATTTATTCTAATGAAGCAAAACATTTCACTCCAACACAATAATTAGAAATAACTCACCAAGGTTGATTACTGAAACTAGTTCTATTGCTAAGAGTTCAGGTACAGAATAAATATCACTAAGGGATCTCTGGTGACTTAGTGGTTGTGTTGCCAACATAAAGGGACACAGTTAAAAAAAAAAAAAAAAAAAGGACAGTTCAAATTTACCAGCTGTTCCAGGGGAAAGATGGGCCGTCTCCTCCCATATGATTTACTGCCTCTGAAAATCCGCTTGAGGGTCAGTTATGAGTCAAGTGTGGTTCAAAAGGATGTGACAAGTCTCAGTGCCCTCTAAGTTGCACTGTGCTGAAAAAGTGTGGCAGCCTGCCTCTTTAAAGAGTTCAGCCTTGGGTCCCTATAGGACTATTCTTCTCTTTCCTCATCTCTGAACTCTTGAGGAAGGTAGAACAGGTATTACACCCATTCTACAAATAAGAAAACTAAGACCCAAGTTCTGTATCCACTAAGTTGTGGAGCTGGTATTTGATCACAGGTTTCCTGCTGGATGCCTGGTCATTCGACAGCCACCCAGTTGTTCAGATCTTTCAGTAAATAATTTGACCCATGCTTTTTGGACATTTGCAATGTTAAGAAGCTGCACTGTAATTTCAAAGGCACACAGTTCAAATCCATTAGCTGTTCTGCAGGAGAAGAGTGGGCAGTCTCCTCCTCTGTGAATAACTGTCTCTGAAAACCCACTAGAGCATCAGCTATGGGTTGGCACACAATATTATTGACAAAAAACACCTGTTAACAAGCAATCTTCTTGATTAGTGGAGTGTTTTGAAACTCTGTGCCTCAGTGGCATGACTCCCATTCCGTCATTCACCTTCCTGCCCTGTGCTGTGGGACCTCAAAACAATTGTCTAGGATAATTCTTTTCTATGTGCAGTAGAACTATTTTTCCAAGTTGACTAAGGATTCTTGCTGATAACCATTTCCAAGGATAACAAATGATGTTGGTGATTTTCATTTTTGAAACACAGGTATCAAATGTTCAAACTGATGAATGTTTTTTTAGCTGGAGGTGAAATGAAAATAATGCCTCACACTGTGGAGTAGAGCATTCTTCAGAGCCCTGATATGGAACAGGACTTACATTTATTCAGGCTGGTTTCATGACAGAGCATCAAATGTTTGAGACACAAATTTGGTTCAATCTTATCCACGGAGGAGGCTTGATGGCCCAGTGGTTTAACCATTCAGCTGCTTAACCAAAAGGACAGCAATTCAAATGTTCCAGCCACTTGATGGGGCACAGATGTTGCAGTCTGCTCTTCCTTAAGCTTTACAGCCTTCGAAACCCCACATATAAGCTGGGATTGTTCTGATGGCAACAGGTTATTAACTATTGCCCTTTTCTTTCCTCATCCTCAGCCACTCACAGCTGACCTTCACTTCTACTATATGATGGAGGTGTCATACTATTGGTCTGTAATGTTCTCCCAGTTCACGGATATCAGAAGAAAGGTAAGAGTGGTTGTATTGTAAAGACTGAGAAGTTTCTAATATAAGTCTTTAGGTTTTTAGAATGGACGGAGTCTCGAAGACATCGACTGACCTCTGTTCTCTCCACAGACTTAGGTTAGTATGACTTTCTGCGTTATTATGGAAAGTTTGCACTTTTGTTTGGGCTGTTTCATAGTTTGTTCATGTTGTTCTTTTCTCCATAGAAAAAAAGCTGTTTGCATGGATCCCAATAACTGTAAACTTTTCTCAGTTCAATCTAAAATAATTATGATCTAAAAAGTAAATAAAGAAGAAAAAAGGTTTATTGGTACCTCCTATGAGAGAGTGAGTTCTGAGTGTTCCAGATACATAGATTGCATTTCACCACCCCCCCCCAGTTTAAATATTAGGAATAACTGTTTGAAAATCAAGAAAAAAATTTAAAAAAAGAATGGTGATTAATTTTATAAGGCACAATATATATGAAAATGATTGTATAAAACAGTGTAGATAAAGGGATTTGTGAAATACAATGTATATGAATAAAAAAACCATTGTCTTGGGGCAATTAGGAAAATATGAATGTAAACTGAGAATGAATGATACCATAGAATCTTTACTTTTGTTAGTCATGATAATTAATATTGTGGTTATAAATAAGATAAGGACCTTTTTACAAAGAGATATGATTAATGAAGAATGCAGTGGTGACATGGCAAAGTCTTGAATTTACTTTGACATATCTTATAAAGACAAAGATGATTAATGAAACAATTATGCTAAAATTCTGAAATCTACATCTGGCTAATGAGAGTTCACTATGTTTCCTACTTGTGTGTATTTTTAAAATTTTTACAATACATTTTTTTAAAAAGACAGGAAAAAGAGTTATCAAGTATTAAAATATATCAATAAGAAAGATAATTTATCCAAAACAAATTTTTCTGGTTTTCACACCCTCCGCTTCATGCTGAAGGCATGTGTTACTGGCTTTTTTAAGCTCCCACCCTGCCAGCATCTGGACAGAATTAGCGTTTTACTAGACCCTGCCCTTTTTTATTTTCATGGTGCCATTTTCTCTGGATTCTCACAATTGGATCATTCCTTCAAAGTTGTTTTCCAGACCACCATTTCAGTGCCTTGTCCTTTATATATTTAAATTTTTCAGGGCCTGACTCTAGTTTCCGAAAGTTGATTGCTCTTAATAATCATGCTTAAAAATTCAGACACTATAAACCATAATTTAAATGTCAGCAATACCCATATACTACTGTTCTGTCCTATATACTCTCTAAGCTCATATTTCTGTAAATCTAGTACAAAAAAAGTAGTATAATTTTCAGTAATATTTCATTTAATCTTCACAACATCTCTAAGATCAACTTTATTATTTATCCTCATTTTATGGTTGAGAATCAGAACTTTACACACAGGGGTGCCAACTGAAAGCATACACTTGCTTGAGTCATCGTCTTCCCTCAGGAATTTTTATAGCCAACAGCCATCTAAAACAGCAAGCATTTCCCTTTGTCTTCCTTCTCATTCCTTGTATCCACTTCCTTGGTACTACTGACACTGATTTTATGTGGGTCCTTTCTAATTGTGCTCAGCCTATTATAATAGCCCCCCCACCCCCAAAAATTATCTTGGTACCTAAATAATCATTCTTTTCCACTTGCAACTTGCTAGGAGTAATTTGGTAAATGTTTCCCAAACTCTTCAAACAAAACCCAAACTACTTGCAGTGATATATAAAGTTGTAGATAATACTATTCAAACACCTCTCTCCCACCCTGTTATACTGCCATTTCTCATTCTTCCTTCCTACACATGTTTATGCCCTCACTACCCATCATTATTCAAGAACATAGTTTCCCTGCTCCTCTCTTTGGTTTTTGTAAGATCCTGCATGTGTCTAGAATATCTCGTATCTACCGCTCCTTATTAATTAATACCTTGCTCAAAGGTAAGTTCTTCTTTGAAGCTTTATGCAGTAGCCCCTTTGTGGAGTCTAAATTACTCTCTCTTCTGTATTTCATTTACAGGATTGTCCTACATTTAGCCATATTGTATTTCAACACTGTGTGACTTTCTTTCTCCTTTTACTAAATTTACAAGATAAAGAGAAGATATGTTTATCTTTACATCCTCATGAGTATCAGTATGCTTATTCACAGTTAGAGTAAATGAATAAATAGGCTTATCAACATTTCTTCTTATTTAGTAATGGCTATATTCTAAATCTCTGTGAAAACATGAATGTGCAGTATGGTTGAGAATACTGCCATGTATTCTTTTTTGGTTTTATCATTAATCTACTGAATGATAAGTGGCATCTGAAAAGCAGCTGAGAGACATTTAAGATACTCTGGTCCTAGTCCTGGAGTCCACTTTCCCCAATATGTGCCTTTCAGTATCCAACAGGAGTATCTTACCTGCAAGAAAGAGGAAAAAATAGGAATAAAGAAGGAGGAAAAAATAGGAGTATCTTACCTGCAAGAAAGAGAAAAAGCTCTCTTTCTTGCCTTGTTTAACTAGATGGCCATAATTTAGCATATCCCAGCTTATTCTCAGAAGTGAATAGTTCCTGTTAGGAATTTGATACAGCAAATGATACATTAGCACTCTCAATATGTGATTCACTTTCCTACTGCATCAAGCATCCTGTGTCAGTTTCTGTGAACATTTAAATATCCTTCAATGATGGCATTCCAGTTAGGTCTTCTCTGTCTTACACATGAGGCTTCCTTTATTTGTGTAGTCAACAGATATTGACTATCAACAGGGTTCAGAGCTATTATTCATAGGATCACTGTGAGTCGTAGTCAACTTGATGCCACGTAAAGACAATGACATGCCAGATACTGTACTAAACTCATCATGCATTTAATGTTCTTTTTTAGAAGCTTTTAGTAAAAAACATCATATAAAGCACATATATAATGACAGGAAGGTAGAGCATAGCTCAGCTTTTATGGTTGGGGAAAATAGACGCACATTAACATACGTGACTTTATCAAGGCCTTACAATGTGGAAATGATTTAGAACCCATGTTTCCAAGCAAATTCCTGCGACTCACCCTTAGAGTAGGCATACACAAAATCCTTGCATTCCCTTGTCTTGGCTTGCCATGATCTTGACATTAGTTAGTGTTAAGTTAGTGGACTTAAGGAAGAAATCGGAGAGAACGAGAGAAAGCTTAATGCAGCTTTATTAAAGGGAGGGTAGAGCTCCTGGGTGAGTTCCTCATCCTGGAGATGCAGAATGGGGAAGTCACACTGTGAACTTATTGGGCAGGATTTTTATAAACAGAGTCTTTAGGAAGGGACTTCCCACTCTGATTTACGAGCCACCTGCTAGCTCAGCCAGGTGGGCAGGGCCGTTTGCTCTTCTTATCAACAGCAGTCAAGACCATCAGCATTTGAGTTCTGAATGCGTCATTCTTTTCTTTGCCCCCCTTTGCCCAGACTTAACAGTTAGTAAACCTCTCATAGTTCTATACAGACTTACTGATTTTTTATTTGGGATCAGAGGTCTATTAAAGTCAAATGAATGAAAGCAGGACTAGCTCGTCTTCTCTCTCAGGAGATTAGTGCTAGTGAGATACTGAGATACTAGAAATCATTAAGACTCTCCACCTGCATGTGTTTTTTCTTCATGCATGTATGTAGTCTCCTCCCAGTGGTCGGCAGGACTACCATAGCATCTTGATCCCTTTAAGCAAAATTACCATCATCTTACTAGTTAAATGGATTCTTTGCAACGGTTTCATTTTACATGGTTTTAACTAATATCACTGTAGAGAGAGTTCTGGTGGCCTAGTGGTTAAAGAGGTATGTTGCCCATGCAGAGGGACACAGTTCAAATCTACCAGCTACTTCTCAGGAAAGAGATGGCTATTCTCCTTCTATAGCATATACTGTACAGCTGTATGATATACAGCTTTTGAAAACTCGCTGGAGGGTCAGCTTTCAGCTATGGGTTGGTTCCAACTTAATGACACATAACAATTGGTATAGATATCATCTATAAAGAGAATCATTTTACAGCAAGTATGTAGAATTGATCCTAGACTCAAACATATTATCAATAGCTATAAATTAAACAGAATTGTGTGAGCCATCTGAGACCCCTTCTTCAGTTGGCCAGAGTACCTTTATAAGTTCCTGAGGTTTTTTGTTCTAGTTTCTTGCACCGAACGGGAATTCAGCCATGTCCAGGCATGCTTATTACTTAGCACAGGTTTTAATAAGGAAGGCCTTTTACTCTGCTGCCATTTCTCATTAGTGAACTTGAGCCCTTGATTTTCTCTTTAGTGTCTTTCTGGCTGGCTGCACGGGTGTTTGGCAGTACCCCCCTTGTTGCCATACCATGTGTTAGACCTGGGTCTGGCCATCAGAGAAGATTTGTGGCATGGTCTTGCCAAGTTCACTCACCGACTTCTATTTATATTGTTCACAAAGATTTCTAAAAACAGCCTGCTTCCTAATTATGGAATAGAGATGTTTAAAGACACCTGTTGCTAAAATAGCATGGAAACCACTTTCTGAAGACTGCTCGCAGGGTTGGTAATAAATAGAAGCCTTACCAAAATGTTTCTTTGCTCCCCCTCTTAAATGACAGTGAGCTCAGACAGACAGCTGTTTATAAGCACTGGGTCCAAGTGCATGCCTCAGACAGCTGAAATCAATATTTAAACGAAGGCTCTAAAAACCAAGCCAGTTGCTTTTGAGTCTTTTACAACTCCTGGGAACCCCATATGTTACAGAGGCCCTAGGTGGACTCAAACTGTCAGCCTTGCAGGTAGTCAGACAACCATTTGGACTACCTAACAACTCCAGGTGAAATTTAGAACTCACTTTTTGTTCTTAAATAATGTAAGAGTCTCTCTGAAATGGGATACATCTTTCCAAACCCTTCTCCTCTCTTCTAGAAGCACACTGTTGTTGCTCTTTTTTAAAATTTTATATTTTTCCTCTCTCTTCCCAAATTTAATCTGGGATTTAAAAATGAGAGGAAT